TCCCCGAGGCTCCTGTGCACGCATCTCCCGCCCGCGCTGCTGCCGCCGGGCATGTTGATGACGAGCTCCCGCACCGTCTACCTGTGCCGAGAGCCCAAGGACGTGTTCGTGTCCTATTGGCACCACGTCCGGACCCTGAGCCACGAGTCCCTCGTGGATTTCGACAAGGCCTTCGAGCTGTTCTGCGAGGGGGTCTCGGTCTGTGGGCCTGTCTGGGAGCACTACCTGGAGTACTGGAAGCTGAGCAAGAAAAACCCTAGCAGTAGCAGGGTTCTCTTCCTCAAGTACGAGGAGATGATGGCGCAGCCTGCCAAGCATGTCAGGACGCTCGCCGAGTTCCTGGGCGTTCCGTTCACCGAGGAAGAGGAGAGCGGCGGAGTCGTGGAGGAAGTGGTGAGGCTGTGCAGCTTCCAGAACCCGAAGGATCTAGCTGTGAACACGCATGGAGTGTCTGGTCAGATCGGTGCCGCCGTCGCTAATCCCGTCAAGAATTCCTTGTGGTTTCGGAGTGGCAAGGTAGGACTTAGGAGACTGGGAGAACTACCTGACGCAGGAGATGGCACACAGGTTGGATTGCATCGTTGAGGAGAAACTCAAGGGGTCCGGCCTCACCTTTTTGACAGGAAAATTTCCTGCGTTCCAAAGAGCCTAAACTATGTTTTAAAAAACCTGTCATTGTTAAAAATTGTCGGTTTTTTATGTATCAACATATGTCACTACATCCTCATTGGGTCTCACAGGAGTGCCGTGTGTGCCTAGCTAGCTCCTTCGTGTGCTAGGCACCGGTAGATGTGGAGAAAAATGCAAATGGAATGGATTGATACTACCCGCGAGCAAGTTGAGTTGATGGACCGCCGCGGCGCGCAGTGGCATGGCGGTTGTTCTCTCTGTGTGACGGTGCTCGCGACCCCTGTTCGCACGCGCGTCCACACGCTGGCTGCTCCTACTCGCTCGCGTGGCCGCGGCGGCTCGCATGCACGCCCGCAGCGGCGGCGGCGGCGCCTGCTCGCGTGTCCTCGCTCGCCTACTCGCGCGCGTTCACGGAGATGGCCGCCGGCAGCACGGAGGCGGCAGCTGCGGGGCTCGTGAGGTCCACGCGGTGGCGGTGACGCGCGGTCGGGGCCGCGGCCGCGGGCAGAGCGCGGCTGCCCGGGCGCGCACGCCCATGGCGGTGGCGGGGCGCCGGCGCCGGCGAAGAGCGTGGCCGAGGATGGGTGCTCCGGGTGTGCCTCGTTACGTTGCAGCTGGTCGTGCTGACGGTGAGGCGTGGGGTGGCTCGGCTACAGCGGAACGGCGGCGGCAGATTGCGAGCTCGCGTCCGGCGACCATGGCGGCCGTGCCCGCGACGAGCAGGGAGAGCGAGAGGGAGAAGAAGAGGGCTAGGGCGAGAGAGTGGAGGCGAGCGCGAGCTTGGCTAAGCCTTAAGGCGTGCGGGGCGGTAGCGCTCCTGGTCGCCATGGTGTAAGCCCTACGCGCGGCCGGCGTAGTCCGCAAACTTCTAGAAGCCTTGGCCATGTACATACGGCCGGCCGGTTACTGGCTTAAGGGGCAAGAAGCTAGCAACAGCCAACAAGTCTATGGGCTTATACACGACAGGGCCATGCATGCACGTAAGCGTGCTCACGACATGCTAAATGGAAGAAGCTAGCAAGTGCAGCATTCATGCATATGTATACGACCGGAGCTGGTTGCGGTATGTACGTGCATGCACCCAGTTCTGTCGAAGCCGGAGGAGCCGCGCACGCCGCTGGAGAGTCGCCCGAAGCCGGAAGAGCCGCCGGCCGCCGGAGAGTCACACGGAGCTGGAGGAGGACGCCGCGATTGAAGATGTACCCGTCGCCGGTCGCAGAGCACAAGATGCAAAGGCGAAGACGAAGGCGAGAGCGTAGCTGTGTGACGCGGCTGCCGTACGTGCGCGTGGAGGAACGGAGGCAGGCGTACATACACACGAAGACCGGACGTCGGATGAACCAGGTTCCGGACGTGGCTGCTGTACGCGTGCAAAGCCGACGTGCATGCATCATGCATGCACCTGTGCCCAGCACGTATGCATGCGTGTGTGCGTTTGAAGATAGTGCCCCGCAGGTGCGCTGGCGGAACCGCGTCGGTTAAAAAATTGAAACGAAAGGGTATGGACCAGAAAGGAATGTGTCACTAACAAAGATTATGGACTCAAAAATCTATTTTCAGAGTTGATGGACCTAAGTGAAACTAGAGCACAAGTTGACGAACCACCCATGCATTTAACTCATAATACAAATACACTCAAGGTTTAATTGCTATTTAAATTAAAGCAAGCTGATATGGTAATACCATATATTGCCTAAAGCACTGATGAGCAAGAGATGTTTTTTTACCCGTGCAACTATTTCACAAAGAGCTTTCACAAACAGGTACAAATTACAGCCATTCATGACTGTTTATGTTCATTTTGACCTCATTATAAATGCAGGTGGATACATGAGGGAGCCGTGCATTGCAATTGAAAGTTTTTTTAGTAATGGCAAATTGAAAGTTAAAGGAGGTTGCAAAATGAAAGCTAATACCATATACACACCATAGAATTGTAGTATAGTGCAAGTTTGAAGCTAAGGGTGTGTTTGTTTTGAGAAATGAGGTGGTTCATTATCTTCTCACTCCTCACTTTTGGCATTTGGTTTGTGGAATGGAATGAGTTGATCCATCACCACCTCATTTCTCATAAGCTAATAATTAGTATATGCATGAGGAATGAGTTGATTCCACCAAATTTATGGGATGAACTCATGATGCATCACCTCATGAAGCATGGGTTGACTCCACAAACCAAACACACCATAAGTGATTGGTGACATTAGCATGCTACTGATTACAACTTTGGGCCACTGGCTGCCACCAGCATGTACGTACTTTTGTATTAATGTATGCTTCCTTTATCCCCGGATCTTTCTACCAAATATTTGTGCAAGTATTGTTTTCTCTTTTTTTTCGAACATACAAGAGAGCTGGTACCATTATATTATAGAAGGGGAAAAGGGGCAAGAGTCCCTACAAACACCCATGCCGTACACACCCTCACAAAATGATTATAATCCACGCCTTTAGGATGACCTTTGTTATCAAGAACTCTAATGTTCAGAATTTGGCACAATACTGTTTTCTTCCTAAAGTCAGGTAAACCTGGCAGCTTTATAAACTAGCCTGCCAACTAACACATTTTTGCTTTTGATGAACAGGGCCAGCAGTCAACTTCCTTTGGTTAGCATTCATATTAGGTTCTAGTATAATTGTGTAAATGAAATTAGCATTCATATTAGGTTCTAATGTAATTGTGGTAAATGAAAATGAGGATGAGTCTGAAGAATATCAAAACCATAAGCTCCCTGATAAATGTTCTCACTTCCAGTTAATCATGCAGATTATGATTTTTTTTTTTCACAACCGTGCCATAGCAGAATTCCACAAGAAGAATTCAATTTGTTCATATATGCATCCTTGTAAGAGATGTTAGAATTTTTTATTGGTGACCATTTTCAAATGCATGAGATCATTTTGAAGAAACATTTACTCTTTTAAAATATAGTTGTCAGTGGTCACGCAACTTGCATTGCAGATCTTTGAGACATGGTGGAGTGAAATCTTTTTAAGGTTACAAGTTTCTGGTGGTTAAAGAGAAGTAGAGAACGATTTGAAGATTGGAACACAACTATTAGTCGAAAACCTTTTTTCCCATGAACATTAGTTTGACCATATTAGTTGGTTCATGCTAATACATATGTTTTATAGTCTCATACTATAAGGAGCCATCTTAGATATGAAAGACGAAACGACAAAGGCTCAAATCCATGGACCATGGGTATGATGGACAATGATAAGATTTGGTGTTGTGAACAAGCATTCCGGTATTCTTAGATGCAAGCCAACCATACTTCATTCTGTATCAATTTTCTTTGAAAAAAACATGTGGATACTTCAGTCTGATAGCATTGGATTTTCAATTCAGATCAGGGGGCAGGGGAACATCATTTCTTGAACCAGATTGAGATCTTGATGGCTCAGGCACCGGTTGGTTTTCTTATCAATCTTTGTTCTGAAGTTTTGTTCTCCATTTTAGTAGAAATGGAGCCCGCCTTTTCACTTTGAAAGTTGAATGTTTTTTTTTAAAAAAATGGGTAAGTAAAATCCATGTGGCATCATTTTTTTTAGCTACCGGGGCAATGCATGGGCATAGACCTATGTACCAGATAACAAGCATCTTACCCAAACAAATGGTGTATAATTTCAGTTATATGAAAACAGTAAGAGACATATAGAATGGAGCATTGACTTGAACACGCCACAAATTAAGTCACCACAGTTTGCAGTTACCAAACGGAAGTCTGCAATGGTGCATAGTCGTGATGCAAAAGCCAACTACTTCCATGTTCCAACAGGCTTGAAAAGGCCAGACATTACTCATGGAGATGAGAATACATAAAGTTAAGACCAGACAATGTAGCAAAGTAAAACTGAACATCTCAAAAGCTTGAAGCATAACCAAATACAGGACACGACAGGACCCAAGACAATACTGAAACAATAAAACTAGGCTACTAAGTGAACATAATCTCCATAGCTTCACACCGGATCTGAACCATGGCTCCATAACTTTGAACCTGATCCGAGCGACAACATCCACCTCGCCTCATAGCCTTGGACAGCTGAACCTGATATGCGACAATATCCTCCACCTTGCCTCACATGGCAGCAACTTAGTTCAATACTGAAAGGAGAAGATTTCAATGCCCCATCATGCTCCAAAATCTATAGAAACACTAGACCAAAATATCTGAACACCATATTCGACAATATCCTCCACCTTGCCTCACATGGGAGCAACTTAGTTCAATACTGAAAGGAGAAGATTTCAATGCCCCATTATGCTCGAAAAACTACAGAAACACTAGACCAAAATATCTGAACACCATATTCAGCTACACTTGAACGCTTGAACTACGTACATGGAGCCTTCTCACACACTGTCATAACCCAATCCTCTGTCGTAACTCATCAATAATTGAAGGGAACTCCTGAACCAGCTGCACATAACCCTTGGTCAACACAGCCTTCTTGAAATTCTCCTCAGATGCAAAGAAGTCAATGCACTTGTTCTTCAACTCTAGGCAGCTGTACATTTCAGCACAAGTTAAGATCCCAGCAACCGTATCGACAGACACCCCTTCCCACAATTTCTGTGCACACATAAGCTTAAGCCGGTCCAATGCGAACCGGTCAGCCGCAGCTAGCAGATGCTGCACCATCTCAGAAGGAGAGTCCCCAAGCTCGTCACCTCCTGGGAAGGCATCTGTGTAAACAAACCGAAGCATGGCTCTGAATGTTGTAGGGGCAATATCGTGTAGGGTGATGGAGGACATTGTGGACTCAGCCATAGGACCAAGGAGCTCGCCTTTGAAAACCGGCGAACGGGCAGCAAGCACCGCTCGGTGTGCATGGAATGTCACAGTTCCAATGACGAACGAGACATCTGTCCCGTCTGAGCTATCCAACAGTGAGCCAAAATGTTTTCCAATGTCTGAAGCCGGCACATGAATAGATCTGTCACAAACAACCATGACAACACATAAAAAGGTTAAATATCCATCTGTCACGTACTCTCTCTCCAGATCAGTCCGTAAAATGTTGTGCTGACAGCCACTTTCAGGATAGTCAGTTTGGAACAGATGAAGGCCACTTAGGAACGGACGAATGGAAGATGTTCCTGCAGCCACATGACGTGGCTGCCCATTCATGTGCAGTAAGAATGTCTCAAACATGGCATAGACGCCTCCGGAATCACTCACCAGCTTAAAGCGGATACTGAGATTGAGGTACTCAGCCTGGCCAGACTCATGTTCCCCACACAGAAAGAAGCTAACCCGCCACATGTGGCCACCAGCGGAGACGAGTTGGGAGTGGATGGAGTTGAAGGCTGAAGCTCTTGCTGTACCCATAGTATACACTGAACTCGTGTACAGTGGAATCAATGGTCTGCCCCTCCAGCCCAGCCAACCGGCGTCGCTTGCTCACTGCATAAACGGGAACTAAACTGAGTCTAAACCAAAAACAATGGCGCTCAGATCTAGAAATCGAACATCACAAAATCAGAAGCTTCTTATCCTTCCACTTGCAGAGTTGCAGTCACACATCAGGTCAATGTAGCACCAAATCGGACTGAAAACGGAATCCGTAATATGCAGGAACTGAAGCGCACGAGAGTGGTACTCACTATCTGCTGCCGGAGGTGGCGGTGCCGATGCCGGTGGCGGTGGCATGAACCTGCTTGCTTGTGGCAGCGACCGGAGATGACGTGCCATCGGCAGCTCCTCCGTCTTCCCCGCTTGTGATTTAGGTCATTTGGCCGACCGAGAACGCAGCCCCGACACCACCCGCGGCACCTACCCGGCTCCCGCAACGAGCCTGCGCCGGACCTCGCCGTCCGTCGCCCGATGCTAGGGTTCGTCTCGCACTCTCGCTTCTGCGGAGTGCGGTCGAGTGGGGGGCGGTGGGAATGGGATCCCAACTTCCAAAAGGTAAAAGGGACCCACATGGCTGGGCCTGGGCCTGCACCGGATGGGCCAACCGCGCTGCTAGATTTTGGAAAAAGTCCACGTAATGTCCATAACTTTTGCAAAAGTCCGTTTTAGTTTAAAATCGGACAAAACACCTCTTTTAATTTTTAAAACCGTTCAACTTAGAGGGTGTTGGTTCCCAGGATTAAATTTTAGTCTCTGTCCCATCGGATGTTTGGACACATGTATAGAGTATTAAATATAGACTAAAAATAACTAATTACACAGATTACGACTAATTTGTAAGACGAATTTTTTAAACCTAATTAGTCCATGATTTGATAATGTGGTGCTACAGTAAATATGTGCTAATGACAAATTAATTAGGCTTAGTAAATTCGTCTCGTAAATTAGTCTCCATCTGTGTAATTAGTTTTATAATTAACTCATGTTTAGTCCTCCTAATTAGCATATGAATGTCCGATGTGACATGAACTAAAATTTAATCCGTAAAACCAAACACCCCCTTACCTCCCTAGCCTTGTTATAAGCGGTTTTGAAGACTGATTTGTCTTTTTTTATTTATTCCGGCTGAATCTTTGAAAAATCATAGTAAATCAAAAGAAAATCATAAAATAGAAAATTCAATTTTGTTGGACTCTACATGAGTAGATCTACACATTGAACATATAATATGATATGCTTTAGTATAATGTTTTTACTATAGCTTTAGAAAAGTATAGATCTAAAGCTATAGCAAAAACTTTGTACTAAAGCATACCATATTATATGTTCATTGTGTAGATCTACTCATGTAAAGTCCAATAAAATTGAATTTTTCATTTTATATTTTTTTATTTACTATGATTTTTTTAAAATTCAGGCGAAATAAATAAAAAAAAAGAAAAAGACAAAACCGCCTTTAAAACTGCTTATAACATGGCTAAGGATGTAAGATGGACGGTTTTAAAAGTTGAGGGAGGTGTTTTGTCCAGTCTTAGAGTTCAAAAAAAAAAAGATTTTCACATAAATTGAGGGACCTAATGTGGACTTTTTCGTCATATTTTCCACCGCGAAGTCTCAAGCCCAGGAATGGCTTTGCAGCTGCCCCATAGGACAGGGGAAAAAGTTGGATGAATTGGCTCGGTGACTTACGCTCAATTCACTTTTTTTAAAAGGTTAAAATTAGCTGATACTGAATGAAGGTCAGTTTAGAGCCTCGTTGCAGAGCTCCCAAAATAGCTTCTGGACTGAATTTCGGAGGAGCCCTGTCAAACAGTTTTTTCTTCAAGATTGATTCTATGAAGGGATTCTCTGAAATGAACTAGTCAACAGGCCACGGATAAAGTCATTGTATGCATAAAGTTTAGAGACTTTTCCCTATGTGCCATTATAAAAGATCGTAATCCCCTGTGTGTCCCTGAAAAATTCAGCGGTCTTCAGCGCCACTACTCCAACTTTTTCGGGTCCTCCATGCCACTTCCGTCGATCAAGCTCTAACTCTAGCCGTCAAAGCTGCAGTGTGAAAAAGCGAAAATACCCTTAAGTTCAAATATGTTATTAATTTTTTGAGCATCTTAACGACTTCAAATGAAAAAACTCAAAACTAGAAAGTTGTAGATCTCGTCGAGATCTATAATTTTCATATAAAAATTATTTTCATTTAATTCCATAAAAAAATATGATTTGATATGATTAATATATCTTAGAAAAATCATCATATTTTTTATGGAATTAAATGAAAATAATTTTTATATAAAAATTATAGATCTCGATTTAGATCTACAACTTTCTAGTTTTGAGTTTTTTCATTTGAAGTCGTTAAGATGCTCAAAAAATTAATAACATATTTGAACTTAAGGGCATTTTTGTCTTTTCATACTGTAGTTTGACGGCAAGTAGAGCCCTAAATCGACGGAAGTGGCATAGAGGACCCAAAAAAGTAGAAGTAGTGGCGCTGAAGACCGCTGAATTTTTCCAGGGGCACAGAAGGGATTACGATCTTTTATAATGGCACACAGGGAAAAGTCTCTAAAGTTTACCAGGGAGCTGAAAAAAGTAGCTTCTGATTCACTCCACGTATGGACTCATTGTATGCATAAAGCTTGTCCTAGACAATTATAGAGAAACTTTTCCAGCTAGAAAGTCACTTCTATCAAAGAATCAACTTCCACAGAGAATCTAGAACATGAGGGGCTCTACCAAACAGACCCTTAGATTCAGTTTAATGTTGATCTCAAACAACAGACCCCATAAACAAACCAAATCAATCTTAAAGAAAACTAAAAATAATAATATTACCTTGATGTCTACTCCTATCCAGAAGTAAATAAAAAGAACATCTCTACAAGTTTGCTAAACCCACTTTTTTGCATGATGAAAAAATATTCCTCTGGTAACTTCTTATCTTTAACTTCTAACTTATCCGCATTTAGAAAATGGAGGCCTTCGCGCGTAAATGTCAGAATAGCGCAGTCCTACAAGTCAGCGAAAATCATGTCGAGTGGTAAAGGTTAAGAGTGGGTGCGTTCGGTAGGGATTCAGATTCTTACGGAAACATTTTGTATTCTAATTCTCTTAAAAAACGTTTCAGATGATAAATCGGAATCACTTCGTGAAATCATTTGGCTCGTATGCTGAATTCTTAAAAAAAACTCCATAAGTTTTTGTGGGCGTAAAACAACTTAAATATAATCTATTTTGATTTGTTGTACTTAAAATTTTATTAATTGGGAAAAATACAATTGCTAGTGAGATAGGAGACGTACATTACTATCATAATTCGGTACGAAACTACCTTTTCCCGGTTCCAAGAGTTTCTAAAGGAAAGGAGAATCGTTTCACTCATAAATCGCTCCGCTAAAAAAAACCCGTCTGACACCGTTTCAAGCGATTCTAGTAAAAATCGGGACGATTCACTTATACAAACGCATTTAGTCGAAGTATGTTCAGACACTTCAACAAATGTAGCAGTTTAACGATAATCACCACAATGATGAATAAAATTATCTACAGCTTTGTGTCATTAACAACAATATCCCATGTTGTATATGTTGATATCAACTCCAGCGTGTATATGTACTGCTAAGACTTGATAGAATGAGTTTTGTCTGCTTAGCTAAATATTTCACAGTAAGATGAATTTATTTTACTTTTCCAGTGCCTGCCAAAGAGTGATTCAATGTGCATGATTATGCACGGACAGTTGCATCCCCCACGTAATATCATGTGAACAACATACGCGAACGTACGTACACTAGGTGTTTAGGACACCTAGGCTAAGTGTTCTTTCTTTTTCATTAACGTAGAAGTGATGGTTCGTTACAAGTAATATGTTGTGAAGATTACTTCCAAACATCATTGTCGTTGTTATCATACCATACACGTGTAAAATTAAATTACATATCTTGTTTTTGGCTTGACTACCAAATATCTCGTGTAATTTTTGTTAGTATTGATCTCATCCGACTCGGCCCAACGGTCGAGTTGGGCCTTGATCCAGTGTCCTGATCGGGGGGGCATCCAACCAAATCAAGGTTGGTGGGCCCCCATCGCGCAACACCATATAGAAGTAGGTGGAGGCCAGGGCACATGATACGAGGCTCACCTGAGCCGCTAGACGCCCCCTACCTACTTCCTAAACCTAGACCGATCGCGAGGGGTGCTGCCAGCGACGGGAAGCGCCACGGCGGACGTCTACGCCATGCCGGACTCCACTGCGTCCTCTACCCCGACGCCGCCGCCACCGGATCCACCGCCGTCGGACGATGCCACCGACTGAATCTCGACATGGACGGCTCATCCTTTCCCAAAGCCGACGGTCAGCCACTCCTACATCTCCATCTCTGTATCAAATTATAGGTTGAATTGAACTAACCAAGTACCGAATTTACCCTCCAATCTACACCTAGATGATCCTAAGAACGTAACAATGGTATGTTGAATAATCATCTAATTGGGAGAAAACAAAGAGCATTGGACGGCCTATTCGCTCTGGATCTTCCTTACCGAGTGATGACATCAAAAAAATCTATAAAATATATAATTACTACAAGGGATAAAATTTCAACAAAACAAAAGAAAGTAAAGAAATCCAACAAAACACAAGAAGACATTTATGTTCATACGAACAATGTCCGTATCACTAGCTCATCATCTTTCTGATAAATGCTCTCTGACTTTCAGTTAATCTTGCAGATTATGAATTCCACAAGAAGAATTCAATTTGTTCATATATGCATCTGTAAGAGATCTTAGGAATTTTTTGTGACCATTTCAGCATTTGAGACAATCAATTCAAATGTGTGAGATCGTTTTGAAGAAACATTTACTCTTTTAAAATATGGTTGTCACGTAATTTGAACTTCTTCGATACATGGTGGAGTGAAATCTTTTTCAAGGTTACAGTTGTCTTGTGGTTAAAGAGAACGATATTGGAGATTGGAACACAACTATTAGCTGAAACCTTTTTTCCATGAACATTAGTTTGACAGTATTAGTTTGTTCACGCTAATATGCATATGTTTTATGGTCTCATAATATAAGGTAGTGTTTCGTTCAGAGACACTGTGGAATGGGACTATTCCATTTCTGTTTTCATAGTCAGAATGATCCCGTCTGTTGTTTGGTTGAAGAGAGACGGGATAGCTCTCTTTTTAAAATATTAAAAGTGGGATAAGCCATCTAACATACGTCAGTCTCTTTTTTTTCTTCTTCATCGCCCTTCCTCGTGCTGGAGTTCGCGGGTGCAGCGGTTCCGGAGTTCGTGGGCATGGCGACGGTGCCAAAGTTCACAGGTGTGGCGGCAGGCTGGAGCTCGCTGACACGTTCATGGGGCCAGAGCTGGCTCATGCGCTCGCCCGCGTGTAGAGCTTGCGCACCCGCTTGGACCCCGCCCGAGGCGCCTCCTCCTCTTCCTCCCTACGCGCGCCTCCTCTTCTTCCTCCTGGGATGATCTGGGACGACCCCATGCGTCAAGTTTTGGTGGACGAGGTGAACCCACATTCAGAGGATATATTCCCTAGTGGGATTATCCCATTTCTCATATACTCCGAAAAGCATTATCCCACTTAGGACAGTCCCGTCCTCGGAACCAAACACTACCTAAGGAGCTACTGTATTACTGTATGTTAGATATGGAAGACGAAATGACAAAGGCTCAAATCCATGGGTATGATGGACAGTGATAAGATTTGGTGTTGTGGACAAGCATTGTCAGCTAACCATACTTCGTTCTCACAGCATTGCCTTTTCAATTCAGATCAGGGCAGAAGATCAGGAGGTAGGGGACGATCATTTCTTGAATCATATCCAGATCTTGATGGCTCAGGCATCACGTTGGTTTTCTTACCGATCTTTGTTCTGCAGTTTTGCTCTCCAATTTAGTATAAATGGTGCCTGCCTTTTCACTTTGAAAGTTGATTGCTTTAAAAAAAAAAAAAACTGGGTAAATAAAACCATACAGCATCGACTCTTTTTTACTACCGTGACAATGCATGGGCATAGACATATGTACAAGATAACAAGCATCTTACCAAACAAATGGTGCGTAATTCCAGTTATGTGGAACAATAAGATGCGTATAGAATGGAGCATTGACTTACGCAGCACAAAGTTAAGTCACCACAGTTTGCAGTTACCAAACTGAAGTCTGCAAAGGTGCATAGTCGTGATGCGAAAGCCAAGTACTTCCAAGTTCCAACAGGGTTGAAAAGACCAGACATTACTGATGGAGTTGAGAATACATAGTTAAGTACATGTAATGTAGCATAGTAAACCTGAACATCTCAAAAGCTTCAAGCATAACCAGATTCAGGACAGGACAGGACCTAAGATGAAAGAGAAACAAAAACAAAACTAGGCTACTTAGTGAACATAATCTCCATAGCTTCACACCGGATCTGAACCATGTCTCCATAACATTGAACCTGATCCGAGTGACAACATCCACCTCGCCTCATGCCTCTAGCCTCAGACACCTGAACCTGATCTGTGACAATATCCTCCACCTTACCTTACATGGCCTTAGTTCAATACTGAAAGGAGAAGATTTCAATGCCCCATTATGCTCGAAAAACTATAGAAACACAAACACTAGACCAAAATATCCGAACACCATATTCGGCTATATATCCTTGAACGCTTGAACTACGTACATGGAGCCTTCTCACACACTGTCATAACCCAATCCTCTGTCGTAACTCATCAATAATTGAAGGGAACTCCTGAACCAACTGCACATAACCCTTGGTCAACACAGCCTTCTTGAAATTCTCCTCAGATGCAAAGAAGTCAATGCACTTGTTCTTCAACTCTAGGCAGCTGTACATTTCAGCACAAGTTAAGATCCCAGCAACCGTATCGACAGACACCCCTTCCCACAATTTCTGTGCACACATAAGCTTAAGCCGGTCCAATGCGAACCGGTCAGCCGCAGCTAGCAGATGCTGCACCATCTCAGAAGGAGAGTCCCCAAGCTCGTCACCTCCTGGGAAGGCATCTGTGTAAACAAACCGAAGCATGGCTCTGAATGTTGTAGGGGCAATGTCGTGTAGGGTGATGGAGGACATTGTGGACTCAGCCATAGGACCAAGGAGCTCGGCTTTGAAAACCGGCGAACGGGCAGCAAGCACCGCTCAGTGTGCATGGAATGTCTCAGTTCCAATGACGAACGAGACATCTGTCCCGTCTGAGCTATCCAACAGTGAGCCAAAATGTTTTCCAATGTCTGAAGCCGGCACATGAATAGATCTGTCACAAACAACCATGACGACACATAAAAAGGTTAAATATCCATCTGTCACGTACTCTCTCTCCAGATCAGTCTGTAAAATTTTGTGCATCATGCATTCACGATAGTCACTTTGGAACAGATGAAGGCCACTTTGAATGTAAGATGTTCTTGCAGCCACAGGACGTGGCTGGCCATCCCTGTGCAGTAAGAATGCCTCAAACATGGCATTGACGCCTCCAGATGATGCACTCACCAGCTCAATGAGGATAATGAGTTGCCGGTAGTTAGCTTGGTCAGACTCATCTTCCCCACACGGATAGAAGTTAATCCGCCACATATGGCCACCAGCGGAGAAGACGTCGGAGTGGACGGGCATGCCAATGTCGCCGTGCTTGATTTGCTCATAGTCTACTCTGCATTCGTGGACAGCAGAATCAATGGTCTGCCCCTCCAGCCCAGCCAACCGGCGTCTCTTGCTCACTGCATAAACGGGGACTAAACTGAGTCTAAACCAAAAACAATGGCGTTCAAATGTGGCAATCTAACATTAAAGCTTCTAATCCTTCCACTTGCAGAGTTGCAGTCACACATCAGGTCAGTGTACCACCAAATCAGACTGAAAACGAAATCCGTAATCTGCAAGAACTGAAGCGCACGAGAGGGGTACTCACTATCTGCTGCCGGAGGTGGCCGTGGCGATGGCTGGTGCCTGCACCTGCCTGCTGGTGGCAGCGACTCGCCGGCGGCAGCTCCTCCGTCTTCCGCACTCCTGACTTAGGTCCTCCGGCCGACCGTGAACGCGGCCCCGTCACCACCGTCGTCACCTACCCGGCTCCCGCAACGAAGTTCCGCGGGACCTCGACGTCCGTCGCCTCGCCCGCCGCTAGGGTTCGTCTCGCTTCTGCGGACTGCGGTTGCAGGCGCAAGAGCGGCCGAGTGGGGAATTGGGAATGGCCGAGTGTCGAGCGTCCGGGTGCGAGCGCACGAATGGGATCACAACTTCACAAGGGTGAAACCCACACGGCCTGGGCCTGGGCCTGCACTGGATATGCTAACGGCGCTGCCCAGCTTTTCCACGGCGCAGTCTCAAGCCCAGGAATGGCTTTTTTTATTTTTGAATTTAGCCCAGGAATGGCTTTGCAGCTCTAGGACCGATAAAAACCTTGATGAATTGGGCTCGGTGACTGGGTCGATTACACTCAGTTTACTTTTTTTATTTAAAGGTAAAATTAGCTGATCTGGATCAGAAAACTAAAGCAGCGCCACCGCCGCCTTGCACGCCCCCTGGCCCCCCTCCTTTATCTTCCGACATCTCGCTGGAGGGCGGAGGGAGTGGAAATCTATTATTTTCATAAGTTTTTCTAAGTAGATCGAGTCTTTAGAGTTAGAGTCTCTTCATGTTAAATTTATTGGTATTGGGGATTTATCTCCACCTCTTCCTCTCCGACGATGATAAAGAGGAAGGGTGGAATTGTTTTCTCCATGGAGGCTCTGCTGGAGTTGAGGACGACAACTATGGTGTCATCAACTTCACCGGCTTGACGACATGGAGACCTTTCTTTTCGGACGGCGACATCAAGGTGGAGATGATGTCGCCGCCATGAAATAATTTTCTCCGGTCTCTTCTTCATATCGTGGTTAGATCTAGCCACGACGAAGGACTAGGGAGAATAATTTTCAGATCAGTCTTCCTCATTCTTCGGTGGCAGAAAGAAGAAGAAGAAGAAGAAAGACACCAGAAAGAAGAAGTTTCTCCACTCCGCCGACATGAATGTTGGCCGTCGTTTGTTGGGCATATGTTCTTAGAACTTTTACCGAGTGTTTGCTTGTGCGGTCATCCATACTGCAAAGCGTCGTATAGGTTTGGTTTTGAGATCTGGAGCTATTCACAGCGCGGGTACAATTTAGATGAAAATCAGTTTCTGAATATTTGTGTAATCCAAAGTGCTTGTAACGTGTTAATGTATTCAACTATTATCTAATATATAATTCTTCTTTCGTCGCAAAAAAAAACAGCACAAAAACTATATAAACAAATTAAATCAATTTTGAAGAAAACTAAAGAAATAGCTTGGTACACTTTTACCAGGAAGTAGATACAAGAACATCTCCAATAGTTCGCTAAACCCACTTTTTTTTGCAGGATGAAAAAATTACTGATTTGCTAATTGATAACCGCATGGGGCACGAGAACGTGCGGTTTCTAGGCCTTTGGATCCCCTAGCCCCCGATCGACGACCTATAGGGAGCATCGCCTCCTGCACCTCACCCAGCGCAGGCATGCAGGCGGTCCCCACTGCCAAAACCAGACGGATGCGCGCTTTCTCTCTCTCTGACAAACCAGCCACGGCCCCTACGAGCGCATGCAACAACCGATGGATCCCACTGCAAATTGTGAACAATTTGTTATTTGCTCGTGAACAATTTATGAATAATTTAACATATATTCTCTAATCATAGAAATAATTTGTAAATTTTTATGAAAAATTTGGTACGAGATCTGCAATCTATGGAAATAAAAGTTGTGTTATCTCTAAATTATATCACTCTGAAAAAATCATTGTAAATATAGTAATAAGACGTTGTAAATATAGTTATAAGACCACGTAAGTGCATGGGAAAAATGTGGTTGTTGGGAGGGGCTAAAACAACCGGTGGTTGGCTAGACAGATTCAAAATTATTCCTCCAACAACTTATATTATATTAACTTTGTATTTGTGCTAGGTTCAAAAAAAACTTTGTATTTGTGCTTTCTTTCAAAAAAAAAAACTTTGTATTAGTGCACATTTAGAGAAAAGAGGCTTCCACGCATAAACATACGTGGATGATCGACGTTTAGAAAAGATAGGCTTCCATGTGCAAACATACATGGATGACCACTACTCTCTGTATCACTGTACACCCTCGACCTTGCTCAACATCTTTCACCAAATCAAAAGTTATCTTTACCTGACGAAAGATCGGGCACTACATATGTTCCCATCGTAGTCGACAAGCTAGATATGTGCTTTCTATTTATTGCGTAAACAAGAGAGAGAGAAGTGGACGGCCAATTCTGGACCTTCATCGCCGAGTGACGACATCAAAAAAACTAAAAAAAACATAATTACAATGGTATAAAATTTGAACAAAGCAAAAGAAAGTAAAGAAATCAAACAAAACACAAAGAAGACATTTATGTTCATACGAACAACCCTATCACTAGATCATCATCTTCTCCGGTCTACGGTCTTTGATCGTCTTGTGATCGTGGAGGTCACTCTGCTTTGAACAATTAACCTCCACAGTGACCATGACGGAGATTCCATCGTGTCGAACATGTTGCGGTGTTTTACGAGAACAAACACTAAGAATGATAGCTCAGTCATTACGCCAAGGAATCGGTGCCTTCTTGCTCGAACGCGTGCTTCAGGCTGCCTTTCATGAAGTTGCCGCTCCACGTGGACGCCGACGTCAAGCTGAGCTGGCTGGTCGTGGTGCCCGCCGTGGTCGACATGGTGTCCAGCCCCCCATCGGTCGCCGGCCACACGAAGGACGGCTTGAACGGCGGCACCACCGGCGGCGGTATGGACCCGAGCAGGATCTGCAGGATGGCCGGCGTCTTGGGCCGCTCGGCGGGGTTCGGGTGGCTGCACGCGAGCCCCAGCAGGATCAGCCGCTCCGCCTGGTCGGCGTCGAACGCGCCGTCGAGCCGCGCGTCGACGGCCTCCAGCGCGCGGCCGTCGCGGTGGAGGCGCCACACCCAGTCGACGAGGAAGTGGAAGCCCTCGATGTCGCAGCGCGGGCGGCGGCCGCACACCACCTCCAGCACGACGGCGCCGAACGCGTAGACGTCGGACTCGCGCGTCGCCTTCTCGGTGTGGAAGCACTCGGGCGCGATGTACCCGACGGTGCCGTGCACGCCGCCGCCGGCCTCCTCCATGTACGACGTCTTGTCGGTCTCGATGGCGCGCGCCAGGCCGAAGTCGCCCAGGCGCGCGCTGAAGGCGGCGTCCAGCATGATGTTGGAGGCCTTGAGGTCCCGGTGCACCACGCGCTGGTCGTACTCGTCGTGCAGGTAGTGCAGCGCCGACGCCACGCCCTTGACGATGTTGTACCGGAGCTCCCACCCCAGCAGCTGCCGGCCTGGAGCAGGGCTGAACAGGTGCTGGTCCAGGCTCCCGTTCGGCATGAACTCGTACACCAGCAGCAACTCGCCATTGTCGTGGCTCCACCCTGCCCGTCCAAAGATAGCCATAAACATGTCGTTAATCAGTGATTGTGGTAGCCATAAACACCAGTAGGTTAATTAGTTTGGACGCAAAGTGGAGAGTCAACAGAACAAAAAAAAATGTTGTGCGCACATGGATCGCCTGGAAAGACGAGTGCAGTGCGTTCAAACGGGCTTTGTTAATGGGCATTCCATGTGCGAGATGAGATGATGAGAACCGAAGCACAGGTGAATAAAGAATGGAGAAATGGGCGGCGCGCCGGCGGCCGGCCGGAGGACAGCAAGAATGTGGGGCTAGCTAGCTTACCGACGAGACGGACGAGGTGCTTGTGGCGGAGGCGGTTGATGATGCTGAGCTCGGCGAGGAAGTCGTTCTGGCCCTGCGTGCTGGCGCGGGAGAACTTCTTGACGGCCACCTCGACGGCGCTCCCGGCGCCGCCGGGGCTGGTGTGGTCGCCGACCACCACGCCCCGGTACACGACCCCGTACCCGCCCTGCCCCAGCTTCATCTTCTCGTCGAAGTTGTTGGTGGCCTTGCTGATCTCGCGGTACTCGAACTCCCGCGGCCCGCCGGCGAGGCTCCGGATCATGGTGCCGGTGATGGCGCTGCTGCTGTTGCCGTCGTCGCCGTGCACCTTCCGACGCTCCACCACGCACACGTACGCCAGGACGGCCGCGCCGACCACCGCGACGACACCCACGGGCACTCCGACGGCGAGCCCGAGCGTCCGTCTCTTGCCACCGCCATCGCCGTCGTCGCACGGGAGCTTCTCCAGCGTCATGTTCCACGCGAGCACGCAGTTGAGCTGGTACTTGCGCCCCGTCGACGCCGCGAACCCGAAGTAGGACCACTCGGCCACGGTCTCCCCGAGGTCCAGCGGCGCGGCGAGGACCGCGCTCCGGGGCTTCGCCTTCCCCGACACGGCCATGCGCACCGCAATGCGGCGCGCGGCGCCGTCGTAGTCGACCCAGACGTCGTACTTGACGGGGACGACGGGCGTGATCTCGATGCCGAGCGGCGTCAGCGAGGCGGTGGCGACGGAGACGACGCTGTTGACGTCGAGCCCGACGTGGTTGTCGTCCGGGTCGTACGCCTGCTTCTCGGTGTCGAGCTCCACGGCGACGATCCGGTTCGTGGCGTTGCCGTCGGTGGCCGCGTTGGTCAGGCCGAGGTACCCGCCGGAGCTCCCCGTGGGCGGCTCGTCCGCGGACGGCGCGATCACGAACGCGAACCCTTCCGCGGGCTCCGTGCCGTTGGGCCGGAACACGTTGACGGTGAAGACGGTGCTGAAGGACGCGACCCGCTTGCCCCCGTCGGTGGCGTTGGTGGCCTTGTCGCGGTGCCAGAGCTTGAACGGGGTGGCATAGAGCACGCGGCCAGACTTGTGGGTGAGGTAGGTGGCGGCGTCGTTGAGCGAGTCCGGCGTGATCTGGAGCGCGCCCTGGTTGATGTTGGCGTCGCCGAGCACCGTCACGTTGACGACGCGGTTCGCGCTGACGAACCGGGAGAAGATGAACCCGGTGACGTTGCCGCCGCAGCTGACGCCAGGGGCCGCGGTGGCATTGGTGGAGAACGAGGTAGAGGCGGCGGCGACGGCGCTGGCGGCGGCTAAGAGGAGCAGGTGTACGAGGAAACGGGCGGCGGCCATCAACCGCGAGCGAGAGGGCGAGACGAGCACTGTTGCCGCCCGTGTGCGGTGCCACTGCGGCCCGGCTGCCCTCCTTATTTCCACCCAGTTTCCTGAGGCTGACAGACTAGATTCGCTTCGCTCGCCCACCGGTAAAGATGACCCTATAAAATTTTGAAGCTTTTTTCAGTAGCAAAGCTGCGTCCACACCGGTGTGTGTCTGCTCCTGATAGATCTGAAAGTACTTCTAAGCGTAGATCAGTGAATAAATTGCTTAACTTAGATAGGAGTCCTCATGATGTACCTCGTCCAGTGAAGTCGTGGCCATGGCGCCGCCGACATGGTAGCAGCAACGTGGAGGCGCTGTCCAGTGGTGGCGGCGAAAGCGATGGCGCTTTCCGTCGTTTACATCGCGCCCTTCTAGATCGGACTAGAGCTAAGACGTCGGTGGGGTGCTGGCGGCTACGGTGAACCTCGTGACTCGAGTCACAGTCCCCACCTCCTATTTATTGCGCTGCGCGACGGGGGGCCATCAGCCAGAAGAATGGATGGGCGCCCCCGATTAGGGCGTGGATCAGGGGCCAAATTGACCGTTATGCCAAATTGGTGGAGATCAACCTAACATTCCTTCCCTTGATCTCACCTTATGACTTAAACTTAACTTTCTTTTTTTTTCCCATTCCATCACATATCAGTGCATAGAGCGTGCCTCATCGTTACAGTCAGTTGCCATTAGATTTAACAGCTACAATGCACCTCTCTGTTTTGAAACAGATACTCAACCAGACCCTTAATATCCAGAAATCGTAGGTTTTCCCGTAAACCCATGTCGACTGTGTTTTCTCTGAACGCACTGGGTGATAAGCCTTTGGTAAACGGATCCGTAAGTACTTACTCGGTACTTATGTGCTCAATGCTTTCAAAATAATTCTGGATTTTTTCCTTTACAACATATAACTTATTATCAATGTGTTTGGCAGCACACTTGATATGTTGTCTTAGGAGTTAACTTACTTTAAATGGTTATTGTTGTTGTCTACCATTGTTAAATCCGGGTACTAATTTTCTTAACCTCATTTTGCCTGTTCCTTAAGCCTCATGCAAGCAATATTATGGTGTGCATCACTGATGACACCGCACCTGTTTCTTTGGAACTTTTCCACAATAATACTCCAACTGCGAGTGTTAGCAGCTACTGTGAATTTTACTACACATCTCGCCAAGACTTAACATTTGTACCATCAACTATTTGAGAGTACTTGTTCTTTCTTACTCAGCATGAGGCCTATGATACTTTACAAAATTGCAAGACATTCTCAACTCTATTTCAGGAATCTATATCTGGACTGAACTTTTGCCAAAATATCCCGGATACGTAAACTACGTCAGGGTAAGTTCTTACTTGTACTTGTACACTCATCAAGCTTCCAATAGTTCAAGCATATAAAACCATGTTCATTCGATCGATCTCATATCGGTTCCTGGAACACTTAAAATTTCTAAATCTATTATCCTTGACCATAGGAGCAGGCGTAGGTTTACTCGCATGCATACTTTATTTCTTTAAAATCTTTTCTAAGTATGTCTTTGCGATAGTCCTAATACCCCCATTTTCTTCTATCTCGGTGAATTTCGATTCCTAGAACCAATGACGCTTCACCAAAATGATTCACATTGAAATTTGAGAACCAAACTTCTTCTCCAATGACAGATTAACATCACTACTAGTGAGTAGAATGTCATCTATTCACAGGATGTGAAAAATGAATTCTCTATTCTTAAACTTCACATAAACGCTATTGTCCTTCTCGTTTTCTTTAAAAGCCCAAACTTTCTTATTGTTTTATCAACTTCAAATACTATTGTCTAGAGACTTACTTTTAACCTAAAAATATATTTCTACAGGCGGCATCCCATATGTTCTTTTCTTCTACGACAAAACATTTTGGGTTATGCCATATAAACGTTTTCATACAAATTCCCGTTGAGGAATGTCGTCTTTACATCCATCTGATGTAACTCTAAATCGTAATGTGCCAATAACACCATTATGATTCTAAAAGAATCCTTACATGAGACTGGAGAGAAAACTCTTATTGTAATCTATTCATTCTCTTTGAGTAAAGCATTTTGCTAAAAGTCATGCTTTATATCTTTCTACATTCCCTTTAGAGTCACGTTTTGTGTTGTAGACCCTTTTATAGCATACTGTTTTGGCTTCATTAGAAATTTCTTCTAAGTCCCAAATATCGTTGGTATTCATCGAATTCATTTTAATTTCCATAGCTTCTTGCCATTTAAACGAGTAAACGTTTCTCATGGTTTTTCAAATGAGGTGGGATCACCATCCATTTGAATTTCTTCACTAACATAGACTTCATAGTCATCAGAAAAATCTGGCTTACTATTCTTTGAGATCTTCTGGGGCTTCAGCTACTGGCACTTTCATATGTGGCTGTTGTTGCTCTTTATTGCCAAGAGACAATTGATTCTACAGGCTCCTATATTACAAGATACTTGTTTACATTATTCATCTTCTTCGAAGAGCTAACAACAGGTGTTGTATTAGTCATACAACATCAACAGGTATTGAGAAATTTGTTGCTCCTGAGTTTCTGGAGTGGGCATGCAGTTTCTCTTCTCTTCAAGTCTTAAGTCTCTACATACCTCTACATATCATGCTTCCCCAGATCTTCCTATCTTTTTAAAAAATGGTGTATCTTCTAATATCTTATTTTGGGTTTAATCTGTTAAAACCTCATATGGCGCTTTAAGCACCACCTTAACATATTTGAGGCTGACTACGCTATCTTTCTGTTGGAACTTTAAAAGGTTTAGGAATTTAGCTATTTCTCTGCTTAGGGGTATCATTATTGTGACCGTTGTACTCCTCCAACGGTCGTATTCATCTTAATTAATCTTTATCTCACTCTTAATGAAGAGTATATTTCTTATTTGATCTTAATATTCTCTTCCTCGAAATATGGCATAAACTTTACTGCCATAATTTCGAGAACTATTCAGAAAACCTGTGAACGAGGAAACACTTATAACTTACTTCACTCACATGATTATGTCATATAAACAAAGTTATTTTTTAATCCGTTTAGGAGTACACTTTGCTTATTTCACTTCAAGAGCTCAACGAGGTCTTTCATTAGCAATACTTTTGCAAGTCACACTTGCATTTTTTCTTATCTTTTGGTTAGTATTGACCATGACGATGCATTTTTAATGTGCCAAGGTCAATACTAGGACAGCATAAGAGCTACCCAAACTTCTCTCGCTATGCGGGATACAAAATATGTGAATCATCACAAAACTTCTCCCGTCATGCAGGATTGACTAGCATAAGTACTATGCTAAAACTTCTCCCCATGCGGGATACATCTATACGAAAACTTAGTCATGACGACTAAAACATTCACTTATACTTTATTTTCCAATTAAATTTCTCCGTTCGTTTTAATTTAATCAGAAAATTAGTAAACTAACAAAAAACTATCATGGCGACTCAAGCCTTTTCATTCACATACCTCAGCATTGCAGTCTGTTGGCATGCAGCCGAATGATCTCGTCGGTTAAAAATAAAACATACAATATGCTTCTGCATCAATTCTACATCACTGTTGGACAGAAAATAGAATTAATGCATAAAACTCATAAAATTAACTTGAAATCCATATAACTACTCTTCAAAATTAAATTCTCCCATTGATTTGAATTTAATTAGAAGATAATCAACATCATTGCAGCGAAAACTTGATAATGAAATACATTCTTTTAGTTCAGGAGCACTTCTTGGTCCTTATCTATTCTCTGAAAATTTGACCACGTTGGTGTAAAATTTATCAGAGATTTAAACTTCAAACTTAAATTCATTATAATATTGTCATCATCAACATTGGTCAGAAAATGACAATACCATAATCTTACTTAAATAAAACGGACTACTCCTCTAATTTAAATTTTTCTATTGGTTCCAATTTAATTAGAGGATAAACATAATCATAATTTACTAAATATAACTGCTCTTCAAAATTAAATTCTTCCGTTGGTTTGAATTTAATTAGAAGATAATCAACATTAAACTTTGCAGCGGAAACATGAAAAAAATCTTTATCTACTTTTCAGAAGCATTTAACTTTTCTTAC